CCAACAACCGTACACCGCACAGGAGGAGAGCCTCTGACTCCAAAACAGACTTTACATGGTTTTCAATGGGAGCAACACTGCTCTGCTCATGCGCCCCCTACAGGCCAGGTTCAGGTTCAACACAACAATACTCCTTTCACTGTTCGACATCGTTTTGTCTCGAGGTGAAATGGAAAAACAAAACAAAATGCAACACAAAATCCAGAACTGAAATCAAGCCAGGAACAAACGTGATGGAGACAATGGACGAACAACAACTGGAGAAAGACACAGGTTTACATACTGTGCAACAGAGAGACACCGGGGAGGCAGGGGGCTACACAGACGTAGATAACTTCTACTGGATGTGGTTTGAAATGAATTCTTCCAAATCGAATGACAAACTTCAGTCCTTCCAGAAGTTTGCGATGTTGAGATTGCACCTATTAATGCAAAATCACAACATTTTAGAATGTTGTTTGTTTGTGTCGATGAACGTGTTTTTGCTGCTACTGGACACTTGAATTTATCCTTCGGGAATCAATAAAGTATCTATCTACTTATAACAAGCACCCCACCCATCCCACCCTGCTCTACTCTGAGCTGCCTTCATCTTTCCGCGGGGGCTTCAGGCCAAGTGGAGTTAAGTGTCTTGCCCAAGCACACAACGACAGCAGACATCAGTGGGAAACGGTGGAGTGGGTCTTGTGGTGGACTCGAACCCACAACCTTCAAAGCTCTACCAACTTCAGATGAATGTATACAAGGGCCACATGTTACCGGATACTTTTCAAGCAACCAATCATTTTAGCAACAATAATGTATACCTTTAACAAGAAATTAAATGACTATAGAAGCACTTTTTCTGTTGCTTGTGTGAATATCTAAATACTATTGTTTGCTAATTACTATAGACACTGTTTCGTGGAGTTTCAAATATGCTAACACGTGTACTTTAAAACTGCCTTCAGAGGTATCCAGGTGCAGTGAATAGATACAGTCTCATACATTGGACTGTGGTCTGTGCATAAGCCACATGTTCATACCATTCTAGACCTAAGTGTTCATTACACTGAAGCCACACGGTTCATTCTGCTCTGCCATGTCTCTATGTGTTTACAACAGCATCTAAGGCATAAGCACCATCCTTCTCTGTGACAATCAGACTTTAGCAGAGTTGTACAGACTTTAGCAGAGTTGTAGAGACTTTAGCAGAGTTGTAGAGACTTTAGCAGAGTTGTACAGACTTTAGCAGAGTTGTACAGACTTTAGCAGAGTTGTAGAGACTTTAGCAGAGTTGTAGAGACTTTAGCAGAGTTGTACAGACTTTAGCAGAGTTGTAGAGACTTTAGCAGAGTTGTAGAGACTTTAGCAGAGTTGTACAGACTTTAGCAGAGTTGTACAGACTTTAGCAGAGTTGTAGAGACTTTAGCAGAGTTGTAGAGACTTTAGCAGAGTTGTACAGACTTTAGCAGAGTTGTACAGACTTTAGCAGAGTTGTACAGACTTTAGCAGAGTTGTACAGACTTTAGCAGAGTTGTACAGACTTTAGCAGAGTTGTACAGACTTTAGCAGAGTTGTACAGACTTTAGCAGAGTTGTACAGACTTTAGCAGAGTTGTACAGACTTTAGCAGAGTTGCACAGACTATAGCAGAGTTGTTGAGACTTTAGCAGAGTTGTAGAGACTTTAGCAGAGTTGTACAGACTATAGCAGAGCTGTAGAGACTTTAGCAGAGTTGTAGAGACTTTAGCAGAGTTGTACAGACTATAGCAGAGCTGTAGAGACTTTAGCAGAGTTGTACAGACTTTAGCAGAGTTGTAGAGACGTTGGCAGAGTTGTAGAGACTTTAGCAGAGTTGTACAGACTTTAGCAGAGTTGTACAGACTTTAGCAGAGTTGTAGAGACGTTGGCAGAGTTGTAGAGACTTTAGCAGAGTTGTAGAGACTTTGGCAGAGTTGTAGAGACTTTAGCAGAGCTGGAGAGACTTTAGCAGAGTTTTAAAGACTTTGGCAGAGTTGTAGAGACTTTAGCAGAGTTGGAGAGACTTTAGCAGAGTTTTGAAGACTTTGGAAGAGTTGTAGAGACTTTAGCAGAGTTGTAGAGACTTTAGCAGAGTTGCACAGACTATAGCAGAGTTGTTGAGACTTTAGCAGAGTTGGAGAGACTTTAGCAGAGTTGTAGTGACTTTAGCAGAGTTGTAGAGACTTTAGCAGAGTTTTAAAGACTTTGGCAGAGTTGTAGAGAATTAAGCAGAGTTGTAGAGACTTTAGCAGAGTTTTAAAGACTTTGGAAGAGTTGTAGTGACTTTAGCAGAGTTGTAGAGACTTTAGCAGAGTTGCACAGACTATAGCAGAGTTGTTGAGACTTTAGCAGAGTTGGAGAGACTTTAGCAGAGTTTTAAAGACTTTGGCAGAGTTGTAGAGAATCAAGCAGAGTTGTAGAGACTTTAGCAGAGTTGCACAGACTATAGCAGAGTTGTAGAGACTTAAGCAGAGTTGTTGAGACTTTAGCAGAGTTGT